TTTTTTTTTTTTTTTTTTTTTTTTTTTTTTTTTTTTTTTTTTACCTTTTCTTTTTTTCTCCTGAGCTGAAGATTAAGCTTGCCTTGCTCTGAGAAGCAAGAGCTTCACCACTGTACTAACCTCCAGTCCTGCAATGCTGCATAATGGGAATTGGGACAGAGAAGGGAAGAGAGCTGCTGTCAAGGACAGCAGCTTCCCCCTGGGATGCATGGGCAGACTAAACAGAGGAAGAGCAGTGCTGGAGCAGGGACAGTTCAGGGCCCTTGAAAAACTAGTAGGGAGACTGTTACTGTTAGATCAAGGCCTGGACAGGTCTAGGGTGCAGCATGGCTTGAAGGACCAGGATGGGTTGAGAGTGGTGATTTCTGATTTGAATAGCATACAGCCTGCCCATCAGATGAATGTAGCTGGAGAGTGAGGAAAGTGCACGTGTCCTGCTCAGAGTGCTCACCTCCCCCACACTTCTTCCTGGAAGCCACTGATCCAGCAAGGGGGTACATGGCAGCCAAGAAATAGGAATTGGCTCTGGATGACAAAGGAGTTCCTTGGGTGAGCATGAAGGAACTTCAGGTAGATGTGAAAACAGAGCCCAAGAGTTGGTAGGTGGGGCAGGGAAGGTGAGGAGATTGCTTGCTCTTGCTGAGGAACCCAGTGAAGGTTCCAGTTCCCTTCTGGGTAAGACTTCTGAAATGGCTTGGTTCGCTGTGACTCAGTTGCTTGCAGGTGGCTTAAGGGAATGCTTGCCATGCCCTGGGCTAGCCAAGACCTCACCATATGGAGCATTTCAGCTGTTTGAGTGGCCACAGTGCAGCAGTTGGCTCCTTCCCTTTGTTTCTTGAATGACTCAAGACCAAAAACAGGATGTGGAGGAGTCTCTGGAGCTGCCAGGGAGGAAGCTCCAAGGCTTACGAGAGGATATGCGATTTGAGGACACACTTTGCACACATTTCTATGGAGAGAGTGAGAGTAAGATTGGATGCTTTCAAGACAACTGGTGTGGAGGGTGAGGGGAGGTAGTGGCCAGCACCAGGAAACAGAACTTACACAGGGGGAACATTTGTCTTAGGGTACCGTGGGAAGCCACCTGGATGACGTGGCTATCACACAGGAAAGTTAGTAGATACTGTGTAAGATGAGAAAACAGTGAACGAGCATCGCATGTGTGAGTTAGGATATGTTAGTAATTGTCAGGACTGAGCTTAGATGGCGGGAAGCAGGTGCAGGCAGGGACTGATAGCTTTCTCATGTCACCTGGAAGCTGAACTTATGAAATAAGCACTTGAGTCAGATTGAGAGCAGGTAATTTTCAGTGTTGAGCTTACATTTCAGCTGCTGTGCAGTGATGTTCAGATCTCTGTGGTGACAGCCTTTGGCTGATATCTAGGGTATATAACCAGCATCGGAATAGAATAGTTCTTTCTCCAAAACTGGAATCAGTTTTCATAAATGTTTCATAAATGCTGTGTGCGTGCGTGCGCACGTGCAGTGCCCACTGAATCTTGGGGCATTGGGTCCCCTGAAGCTAGATATGCGGGCAGATGCGAGGGTGCTGGGAACAAGCGCGAGTGCTGGATGAGCAGTACTCATTCATCTCTCGGAGCCATCTCCAGCGCCTTGACACACACTACATTCTGACGCAGTGTGAGGGTGTGTAAGGGCAGTGGACCTGCTCTGGGAGCATTTGGTAGTTAGAAGTGACACCACTGGTGCCCAGTGAGAAGTCAGAGTGAGCACTGGACACCATGCACCACCTGGGCAGTTTCCCCCACACCCTCTGCTGACCAAAATGTCAGCAGTACTGAGGTGAAGAGGCTCAGTTTTAAGTAAGCACATTGCCTTCTACTTTCTGTGAAAGAACTGAGTAGCAGTGCTGGGGGAAGGTTCCGTGACTGGTATGACTGTTGCTGTTAGGTACTGTTTATCCTTTGGTGAATGAGCCATGCCAGTGTAGCCTGACTTCTCTTCATAGTTGTCTGAGTTGAAATCCATTCTGTTGTATCCCGTTTGGCTGCATCTTTTGTGTAGATAATCCAGGCGCATGGCGGCACTGTGGACCCCACATTCACAAGCCGATGCACACACCTTCTCTGCGAAAGCCAAGTCAGCAGTATGTATGCACAGGTAAGAACGGTTGGTCACCGTGACTGGCGGCAGCGGCATTGTTACATGCAGCCTAAGAAGCAGGTGCATAATATATTTGTGGAACAGTGTCATGTGACCCACATTGGCCTTGACCTCAGTGTGCAACAGAGGACAATCTGAAGCCTGTGATCCCTTCGTCTTTACCGCTTGAGTGGGAGAGGCACACACCTTTCGTGGTCCTGGGAATTAGACCGAGGACCTCTTGCACATTAGACAAGTGATCTGCTGCATCCTCCCAGTGCTTACAGTCTTCCAGAGAATATTTTCCTGCCTCCAAAACTCAGAAAGTCACTTCGTTGGGTTAGATACTGTTGTGGACAGCTTTGGGCAATAGAGAGGGAAGAGGGAGAGGCCCCAGGTAGAGGCAGGGAAAGGGCCGGCCCTCCTAGTCACCATCCAGATGACCCTCAAGATGGGACGTGGAACCTTTTGCTGTTTTGCATGCAAGAGCTTCTGGGGGTTAGACCCTGAGAGGGCAACAGTGAACCCTGGGCTGTAAGCTCCTCCCAGCATCACCTCCTTATCCCTGAGGTTTTCATTTCTTTTTGTAAAAATGTTGGTGGTAGTTCAGATGGATGCTATGTGTACGTGACATTGGCTTTAGGAGCACCTTGTTAGGTACCGGTGACTGTCCCACTTTAGACTGTGAGCTTCACCTGTGGTTAAATTTAGGAGTCTGTTATATGTACATGCTTTGTATGCAGGGTGTAGGGGTGTTTCCCTTTGTGGGGGGATTGTGTTGTGTGGTTTCTGACTAGTTTTTCTTTGAGGTTTAAATTTAATCATGTGTATATGTATTTCTTTGTAAGTGCATAAAGTGTGTGTAGGTGCCCTGGGGGGCCAGAAGCCTCAGATCCCCTGGAGGTGACCTCTTTGATTCATTGGTTCTGGGAAGGTGGCGCTGTATTATGTAAGCCAACCATTTTCTCCCTGGTTCTAAGCAAAGAGCCTGAGACAGCATGACTGTTGTTTTGTTTGCCAGGCGCTACGGGAGAGGAAGCGGTGTGTCACTGCACACTGGCTCAACACAGTCCTGAAGAAGAAGAAACTGGTGCCGCCCCATCGAGCCCTGCATTTCCCTGTGGCATTTCCACCCGGGGGCAAACCCTGTTCACAGCATGTGAGACCCGTCCCCTCTCCTGCTTGGCTTTCCACAGTTGTGTCCCAGACTCCTGGGTGCTTCTCACCCTCTCCTCTGTGCACCGTGCCCACCGTAGCAGTGGCAAAGACGAGGCGTTTTACCTCATTGACACGCCAAATGCTAGGATGAGTCAGCTGCTGTTGGGCAGACGTAGGCAGTACTTGTGGGCACTTGCAACCCAGTGATCCAGAGTCTGGATGAGTGAGGAAAATAAAGACCTGCCCTTTGTGTGTGTGCTCCGCACAGTAACCTGAAATTACCTGAGCAGCATTGCACAGATGCCAGAAATACTCCCTTGTGAGTGCAGCTCCTCATCTCTTCTTGCCACGAGGATGCTGTATGCTTCACGTTATCAGTGAAGTTACTCTCATGATGCTCTCAGGAATGGCAGGGCCAGATACATCCCCAAGGCCATAGGAGCATGAGAAAGTCTAATCAAAGCCGCTTTGTGTTTATATTCTCATCTGCTCTTTTTTTCCCCAGATTATCTCTGTGACTGGATTTGTTGACAATGACAGAGATGACCTGAAGTTAATGACATACCTGGCAGGTGCCAAGTATACGGGGTACCTGTGCCGTAGCAACACTGTCCTCATCTGTAAAGAGTAAGCTGGGCTTGGAAGCTGTTTCCGTCCTGTTTGCCTTAAGGAGAGGGACGTGGAGATAGTTGGGTGGTTTTGTTTGTCTGGGGGGAGGTGTGGCCTCTTGTAAGCCAGGCTGGTCTCAAACTTGTGGAGAGCCTCCAACTCCAAGTACTGGGATCTCAGGCATGCGCTACTACTATGTCTGGCTGCAGTCATTTTCTAATACACTGTAGTTTGTGTGAATTTCAAGTGTGGAAGTACATGGAAGAATAACTCTAAGGCCTTTGAGCGTTTGTCTTCCCAGCTCACACTGTCCTGGCTGTCCTGGAACTCACTGTGTAGACCAGGCTGGCCTCAAACCTGCCTCCGCCTCCCTGGTGCTAGTATTAAAGGTGGGCACCACCATGCTTAAAAACAATCTTTGTCTCTATTTTTAAAGAGGCATCACTGTTCACGGAACTGTCAGAAACACCTCTAAAAGACTTCACTTGGTGAATGGAGGAAATAATAGAGTGTGAATTGATGGATGTAGATACCAGGGATAGGGTTTAAAGTCGGATACTGACCCAGTTGGAGACTGGGGTTAACTACCCTTGGCCTCCAGCTTGGCTTGCTGGCAGCTTTGCTGAAACATGCCCACCCACTTTATTAGTTCTTTTTAAAATTGGCTTTTGTTGAAAATAGACAAGAATTCATGGCAAGATGACACTAACATTGAATAAATGTGATTTCTCATTAAAAAAAAAGACCAAGTGGTTTGAAGTACGAGAAGGCCAAAGAATGGCGGATCCCGTGTGTGAATGCACAGTGGCTGGGGGGGC